CACTGTCGTATGGGTATTGATTGCTACTGTACTTTAAATTTCAAATATGTCAAGACAATTTTGTGGACATAACTGTAGAATTAGCACTTGATTGTGGTTCTGAAGACAAGTTGAATCCAGCTCTTGCGATCTATTATCATCCTAATAATTCAAACTTTTTTTCTGTTTCATGATCTCTAAAGACCTATTATATAAACTGTACAGATGAAATCTTAACATGAGGAAAACTGATATTTTAAATACTGACAATAAGAAAAATCTTACGATACTAGCATATGTAAATTGCTTTATTAAAGTGTGTGGTATCCATGGATTTATCATCATGATATCAGAATTTTCAGTAGTAGAAAATAAGCCAGATGACTTAATAAAGAAATCAAATATGATTTTTAGTATCCACTGAGCATTAAATTTATCCTTTATGGAATCTTGGTTAGTCATAGTCCTATCTCATACTTCCCTTAGCACATTAACTGCCATGTGGGTTGTATATAACTTGCACTAGTTTTGAGCCCGGGGCCTCATGAAGTATATGTAACTCACATGTCTCTTCACCTTGGGAGTTGTAAGTACTATTTTTCAAGTTGCATATATAACTCACAACAGAAAACAATAAAAAAAATAACAAATTTTTCATTAAATTAGAAAGGGTCAGTTTGTTTTCAAAGTTTTTATTCTGTTTTCCTAGTAAAACACCATCACCCCAAGGAAAAAAATTTGTTTCTAATGTGGCAGTCAATGTGTTAAAGGCTGGTTGTTAGCATCCGTAAGTTAGAGGTTTGTTGGCTAACATTCAGCATATACCTCCACCAAAACCAACTAAACATACAAAAATGTGCTTTGTAGACAAGCAAATAGACAACTAAATCCTCTTTGCAAGTTGAAATCCTCCTCTGAAAAAACATTATTATAGTCAGATCACCATGTAACTCAAAGAGTAGAAATTTTCCATTGTTCTTCTCTATTCTCATCAATACCTAAGAAGTTCCAGGATGCCAGAACCTCATCTGGGAAGAGGTTGGGTACCTCTCTAGCACTAGTTGCTTACATAACCCACCCGTAGTTTGATTAGATCAATTAAACATTGAAGTATGCAGTCAGTCCTCAGGTTACTCATATAAGCAGCTAAGTCTAGATTTTCTTTTTTTAAATCTGACCTACAAAATAGTGCTAAAGAGGTATCTAGGATGCTCAAACTAGAACTTTCAAAATATAGTTGTTACAATAATAGTTAGGTGCTTTTTACTTTGGCTAAACTCTACTTCTGAGCTTTAGCTTTAGTGATCTAAATGTATGGCCCATTTCATAATTTTTTCTTTTTGATAAGTCTATAATATTTTTGACCTTATAATCCACGATTCGTAAAGTTAAAACTTATCTAGCCAAAGAGACCTCTGAGACTAGCAGACCCCAGATATAGTGCTTTGGAGTTGGGACTATTTAGTAGTTTCTGCTAAGTCTTCAGTCCCTTAAACCACAAAGAGTACTTCAGATAATTTTTGGTGGCTAGGCCTGCCACCACATTTTCCACACACAATATCACCCCACCCTCTACTCCTTGCATACATGTATGTTCATTCTTTTATACTGTTGATCATACCACAAAATGCATTCTTTCTTGGATCTGTTAGCAAGGGAGAATGTCAAGCCTATGATTTCAAAGACTATCCCTGAAAGCTTCCATTTTCTTTGTTCCAAAAGTAAATTTTTAAAAATGTACTGTACATTGTGGAAGAACACAAAAAACTTGTTTTTTCCTATCTTGTATATACATTATTAGAAATTGTAGAAAAGGTGAACTCCATTTTTATTTTAAGCAGCACAAGAATCCCCTCTTCCTCAATTACTTTTCTATAATGCGTATTTGACTCATCTTTTTTGTATCTTGTAAAATACATCTAGACTCTTAAATACCTGGCTTAAGTACTTAAGGCATTATATATTTAGGATAACTGTGGAATACAGGATCCCTATCTTGTTTTCAAAGATGGTGAACTTGGCTTTTTGTTGTAGTGTTGACTCTCAGGCTAGGTTTATAATTCTAGAGAATCAGAAGTCAAAAGGATGTAGTTGGGTTAGTAGCTGTGAATACCCTATATCAGATTATTCAGGTCGAGAAAGAAGACTAAACTTCTTGTGGTATGAATGTGCACATATGCCTTTTCAGTGGATAACTGTCATATACAAGGTAAATTGAAATAGTCTTAGGCCAAAAAATAGTCTTATTTGCAATCTTTATTCATTGTCCACTTCTTTAATATGGCGTGCTACATAAAGGACAGAGTATCATTTCTTCCCTTTCTGAAAATGAGCTCTACAGATGTTCAGAGAGCTACTATATAGTTGTGTACTCATGTGTGTTACAAGTGTATAGATCAGTATAGTTAGCTAATTTTTGAATGCCTACTGGTACAAATAAGGATTGTACAAAGGCATTATTGTTGTTTAGCTCTGGAATACAAATCTTCTACTTTGAAGTGTGTTCCTTCTCCAGGATTAAGGCCTGTAGTATTTTGTCGTTGTTTTAATTTATTGATGCACATCGGGCAGCCACAGAACGTTCTCCCAAACCTCAATAAGACTATTTCCAATAATTGTCTTGCTGTTAAGGCACATTGAACATTTTAACTTAGAGTGTTTTCTATTTGTACAGTTATCCTGCAATGTAATTGACTTAAATTGTTAAGGAAAACCAAAAATTTCTAGTCACTTTAATCACATAAGCCAAGATTTCTAACAGCAATTCAAATTCTGTTATCAATGGCAGAAGCTCACAGACCTCTTCCACCAAGGGGTTAAATTCTTTCATCAGATATGTTTATAAGGGGCCACAGCTTTGTTGGCTGTACTGCCTTTTTTTTTTTTTACTTTCTAGTTCACTAATCAAATGTATGTTAGATTGATTATTGTAAAAGTATAAACCATAGAAAATTTGACAAGATAGATGTGTAAATTATCCTTCTGACAGAACTAATGATGCACTCCAAGCACCTTCTGTTTTCCAGCCTTGGTGAGCGACTTCATTAAATATGCAATGGCTGTTGGGTGGCTTCTCAGACGATGGTTCAGTTCCTTGTGGAATTGCATTATTACTAGAGGTGTAAAACCAGGCAGACAAGCTAGCTGTTGGGCATCCTGCTGAGGTTCTAATGTGCTCCATCTTGTTGGAGCAGTTGTTTGCAGTCTTTTCAGGACAATTACATCCATAACCACAGGACACATTCAGTGAAACTATATTACAGATAACAGTGGAGACTGGCATTGACTGCTCTTCACCCCTTGAGCTGCTTAAGTGTGGGTAGCTTATAGTAATATAGTAATGCCACTTTTACCACTCACAGAATAGTTGCTTTTTTTTTAGTCTTGTGTAGCAAATCTGGAAATAACTGATTTTTAACTTTTTTTAAATGCTTAAAATGACAGAGTATTAGAGGTGAAGAGACTTTATAGATGCTAATTTGTTTGCAGTTGAGAAAACTGAGGCTGAAGCATAGTTGTGGGTTATCCCTTAGGGAGATAGTAGAAAGTCCTGGTAGAACATCTTTTAGGTAGTAGAGATTGCATGAATAGGAATTTTTACTGTGTAACTTTTGGTTTTAGAAGCTGTCTTAAACAAAATTTTTCATTTTAAGATTTTTTTCTTGCTGAACCTCATTCCCCCTCCCACCTTAACACCAGCAATGCTTTTTTATTTCAAAAAGCCAAGCAAAAATATCTTGCTTCCTGAGGGTATTATGCAATTTATTATTTTGATGACAATTTGATGGTTTCCTGGAGACCTGGACACAAAAGATGGTTTGAGTTGAGCTTAAAATGGTATTTAAGATTTCTAAAAGGCAGATGCTATGATGTATCACTATAGCCTGATAAATGGGAGTGCATTTTAGAATGACAGGTTGAATACTTTTAATGAAAGAAGATTTCCCATTTCAGTTGGCCAATTAAATTACTGTTGATGACTTTGGATCATTAATGAACATTTGTGGAAAATGACCATTTGAATTCAATTATTATAATAATGTGTTTTTTGGAGAAGTACTGACCAGAAATAACCCTAAGTATAAATTGAAAGATTTATCCATTTTGCCACAGATAGGTCAGCATATTGCTTTGCTTTTTAATGCCAAAACAAATTGACATTTCACAATTCTTTTACAGGTTAAGTACATATTCTTTCTTACAAAAGTTCTACTTAGAGTAAGTTATGTTTTTCATTGAATGCCTTTTAAAACATAATTTATACTGCTAACCATTATGTTACTTCATTATTCTCAGACGAATTAGCAAGACCTAGAAAGAAAGACGGGGAACTTTATACAGTATGTAAAAGCAAAAGATTTAGTTTAAGATGGATTAGGTATTTGATTTATGTAGTGCCTAAACAAACCCCTCAAATCTCAAAAAACAGTAGGAAAAAAGTGGCCATTATTTGAGAACATGCAAATTTTAAAACTGCGAAGAGAAAATGTAAATGGAAAACTTTATAACCAGATTTTTTTCTTAAGCCTATTAAAGGTTCAGCTTTTATTTTTTTTAAAGCTTTTGTGCTTCTTAAAATATCTTAAAGATATATAGCCTGTCATTTTCATTAAGTATACACAACAAATTCATCTCGATATGTTTTTCTTTAGTTAAACTTCATTTTCTCTGAAACTTTGGTGTATTTTGATAGTTAAGATGGGTGGATTCTTTTGAAATACATGTTTTTCTCATCTTGTTATTTGTAAAATGGGCTGAAATCTCACTCCAAGCTTCCTTCAATCTCCATTTCATAGTTTACAGAGAAAGGAGACACCGTGGAGCACAGACTTCCCCTGGGAATACATTGGGCTTAATGAGCTTGATAGTCTGGTGGGCTCAATAAATCAAATAAAGCAAAACATTTCTCATTTTTGAATAAAAGCATTTATCACACAGTGTTTGTTCACTCGTGGTCACAAGATTGATTGGTTCCCAGCATCATAGTGTATATTGAAGCATTTTTGATTTTGTTTTTCCAGTGGGCAAGTTACGGAAGCAATGGCTAAAGGAAAGTATCTCTGATGTCGGCTTTGGGATGCTGAAGTCTGTCAAGGAATATGTGGACCCCAATAACATCTTTGGAAACAGAAACCTTTTCTAAATCCATTAGTATCGTTTAAAGAAATGTCACTTTTTCTTTAAAAGTCTTCAACTATGGTTATACCAGTAATCAAATATATCATGGACTATATTTCGGCTACATTTGTTTGTTGATTTAAAATAAGTTTGTTTTCATTCTGTAGTTTGTTTTGTTTCTACATCTATGGATTAACAGATGGTATTCCTAAATCTCTCTCATTGTAGGTACGTCAGTTTATAGCCAACTGGTTGTCATTTCAAATTTTAGTCAAGCAGCTCCAGGCTGCCAGTTATTTCAGAGGAAGATGCTGCCAGCTGTTTTGTATTGATGCTTCCTCCTGGGAACAAAGGCAGATTTTGGTGTCATCTATTGCTCATCTAGCTTCTTTTTAAAAGAATGTTTCTGGGAAGCAGGTATCTAGGGAAGGAGATTCCCCTGAGGAATGGTAAATGTGTATGTTTATTAAGAGTATATTCTAATGTGAATAGGCCATTAAGGGGATATATTCATGAAAGAATATAGGCAACCTGGTATTTAGAATGGTTTCAGTTCTGTAAGGTGTTTGGCCTACATTTTGCTTTGAAATTACTGTAAAGGCATAAAACCTTAAATCATCAGTATACAAATTATTCTGTTAGGGGACATGTTTTTCTCTGTGTTTCTATTTCTTCTGAGATATGAGTTGTATTTTTATCACTGAGATAACCTATTGTTATAACCTAGTTCATTTATAATATGTTTTGTGAGAAAAGCTGACTTATCACTCATTGTAAATGAAGAACAGGTTTACCATGAAATGAATGCCTTTATTCAACTTAGAGTCCTAATGTTTCTGATTTCACATTCTTATTGCTGAGATGCAGAAGCAGCAGCTACAACAGGAGCAGAAGGAAGACTTCTTACACATAATGTCTCCCATTGAAAGAATTGTTTGGCTAAGAAAACAGTCATTGTTTAGCTATTGAATTTGAAAGCCTCAACAGTTTCAATTACAAAAATCTTTTTTTAAAAAATTAACTCAAACAGCATGTAAATTTTCATATAAAAGTAAAGTGTCAATTTAGTTTTTAAATAATGGTTTAATGCCTTTTTTGAATTACTGGGTTAACCTAAATTTTAAAAAAATTTAATGTATTATTGCATATACCATAATCAAAAGTTTGAAATATTCTATTTCTTAAATAATGAGAATATAATAATCACACTTAGCAAGCATTTTTACATTCAAACCTGGATATTAAAATAAGTGAAATGATTACTTTGAATCACTGTCTGTCAAGGTTCATGATTCACATTTTGAGATGGATTCTTTTCTTAATACCTAACTTTTGATAATTTTTTAAAATTAATATTTGATCAGATAATGTAAGTCAAAATGCAGACGATCCTTTAAGAGGAAACACTGTCTGTCTATGTAGCAACAGCTCCAAAGTATTTTTGGCAGTTTGATACCTTTTATATCTGAAGTAGCCTTAACCAGAAAAATGAAAATTTAAAATTGACAAAATGATATTTTTAAGACTTCAAAATGATAAATAATTTTTAACTATTAAAATTGGCCTCAAACTAATAAACTTAAATCTATAAGCAAATCAAAATTAAATATTAGTTTAACAACAAAACTAAATATTTATTTTTTAGAAGCTGCCTCTATTCGTTGGTGATTTGTTTTTAATTATAAAATTTTCAGCAGATCTTTGCTTGAAGCCCTTGATATTTGAAATAGTTGAACACTTGATGAGAAGATTGCCTCTAGAATTATAAAAATCTTAACTTTATAAAATGCATCTATTCATCAAGGTAATTTCTCTGATTGGTGATCAGTATATAAAATTTAATAAGGTTCTAATATCTCACTGGAAGTATACACATGTTTCTGAGTAATTTTTGTTTTTAAATAAAACAGATTCATAAGCAGATTCATTTCTTTGCATGTGATTGTTATACCATTCTCTCCCAGGGAGTTCAGATTTCAGCCACCTTGGAAAATCTGTATTTGATATTAGGAAACTATAAATGTATCACCTGGTATTATTGTGTTCACTATTCTACATGAACCTTAAGGAAATTAGTGATTTATGTCTTTGTTTTTCTTTTTCAATGTATGCAGAACTCCCCAACTTTGATTTTATAATGATGACTACATTTCATAGTTGGAATTGTTTCTACAGGGATCATTTTGAAACACAAGAACATTCATCAGTAGTGTTTTGCTCTGATATAGTACATCAGAAAGCTTTCCCCCCACTTTCACACACCCCCTCTGGGAGGAGCCTCAGTATAGGCTTAGTGTCTGTGGAGGACTGAGTTCATGAATATGCACAGAAGCACTTAAACCATGCCTCTTATTTCTGAAGTATCTGAAAATGGCCTCTTTAAAGTTAAAGCCAGGAGAGCATTATGTGAGGCTTCTTAACTCATTTTGAATAAGTTTATTTTAAATTTTAAAAGCCTGAATGTAGTCTATTTGGTTTTCAGTAATGTGTAACACTGACTTCTTTTTCTTATATTGGTCATATTTGTAATATTTTACTCAAGTTTGATGATGTCACATTTGGAATGGGGTTTCAATGAGAATGGAAACTTGCTGCTAGTGAGAAATAGCATTGAATACTAAAGACTCAGTATGAACAGGCTTTATTGACCTTTAGGGAAACTGTTGCCTTAATGTTTGGTGCAATTTATAGTAGTGCGTAAGTGAATTTAGTCTTATGATAAGTTACTTGAGCTTTTTTTAGTTTCGTAAGAATCATGGAAGCCACATGTTTATTGTGCCCATCATTTTACACAAAGAGAGAAGATTAGATTCTTTCCTCTTCTGAGGAATTAGGAGTTTTCTTCCTAAAAGTGCTTACATGTTATAATACTATTACTTAACAGTTGTATATGAAGCTAGAAGCCTTCTAGTGTGTATAGTTGTGTATTTTGACAACAAAAGCTCAATAAAGGATGAGCTTCCATCAGTGTGTATATTATACTACATACAAATGGTTGCAAGGAAGCCTTTTTTCCCCAGAATATTCTGTTAGTAACTGCTAAGTCCTAGTTGCATTTTTGAAAATGCCTTTCTGCATGTTGGCCCCCAGCAATCTTCCTTTGTCATATTCTTTCATAGCTACAACTTCTTAACTGTAGCTTATCAGAGATACTCTGTAGTCCCAAGCTGAATTGTGTTCCCATGGCTGTTCAAAATGGAGCTGGGTTTGGTTGAGCTTCTATTCCATATAAATGTCAGAAAACAGTTATTTGCTACAGATCGATTTGCAAACAGCATGTGCTGGTGCTTAAGGCAGCCAAAATGGAATGCTGTAGAAAGCATATCTATATTTTAAGAAACACTGAGACAGGAATTAAGGATAGCTTTAATAACTCTTTGTTTACCACTTAATCTTTAGCAGCTTTGATTTTAATTAGGACTTAAGTCATGATGGGAGAAAAGTAGAAAATAACAAGTGCCAGTTTAGGATTGAAGAATCCAGAGTCTTTAACCTTTGGCTTTATGAGTTATGGAAGCTTGACCTTGCTCTAGGCTTCACGTTCCCAAATGAGCCATAATATATTCCTCAATTCTTACTAATTTCATTTTCCTGAAAAGGAAACAATTTATACATTGATGCTAAAATCCAGAAAGTGTAAAAGGTTTTCTTAAACTGTTGAAATATAGTGTCTGTGATATAAAGGATATAAGTTACTCAGCTTTCTGCTCCCTAAGCCAAACAGTGTTTGTCTTCAGTGTGAAATTTAACTGTAAAAACTACTTGTAATGTTAAGAGATTATAGAAACATATTGTTAATAAAATGGACCTGGGTCTAAGATTTATTTTTTTCTTCAAAGGGAGTGTGAAGCTGTTTATTCTTCTGTTTGCATATGGGTTTTTCTTTCAACTTTAGTGTTTCGTCATCATATTTCCACTGATCTGAAAACAAATTTTTTCATAATTTTACTGATGTAGCATAATCAAGTGTAACCTAACTATGACTAAATCTCTTTGGATTTATTGCTGAGGATATTGTTAGCTAGGGTTTATTAATCTAATTATTTTTAAAATCAATGTTATATTTCTAGGAGATGTTTAGTGTCCTGTGAACCTGAAGCATTCACTTTTGAACCTTGGAAGGTCCTCAAAGAAGGAACACTCTTGTGTTCTTCTAACCACAGTTAATTCCTTAACAAACAGGAGTAAGAACCACTGATGTATAGAACACCCAAGCCAAAGAACCATCACAGAATTTCATAACTTTAGTTCTGTGAATATGAAAAAAAATTTTTTTTGGTTCCTAAAGGAGATTGTGTGTTTTTCCACAAAAAAGAAAAATCATACATTAAGTATCATTAAGAACATTTTTTCAGAGACTCTGAATTCCAAATCTGAGAGTGAGAAAAGGAAAAAAAATGTTTTAGGGTGGATTTCTAAGCAACATATATATTATTAAGGTATCCTATTAGTTGGCAGTGTTTTTCATGAAAACCACACGCATCCTATAAAACATGTTTTTAATCCTTAAATTAATCTTGTTCACATATCCAAAAAGGACATGAAATGCTTGTACTGGTATACAGTTTCTAGAAGTAGTTATTTTTTGAGCTACTTATACAATATCCCCAAAAGCTCACAGTGCCTTGTTGGGATTTTTTTTTCCATGAGAAAGCCATTATTTAAAATGAGTGGGAGAGGATACATCTTCAAAGAGAGAGATCATTCAACAGTTCAAGGCTATTCCTCTTCAAGAACATGTCAGGATTTAAAGTTAGTTGTATGTAGAAACACTGATAATCCTTTCCACACTGCTGGTTTGGATTATCTATTCTAGCATATTTTACTAATTTTATGGTGGACCTGTACTCGATATACATCTAATCAGTCAATGGGATTTGTATGTGCTTTTCATTCCTGCATTTTCATTCCTGCTGTCCCAACCTAGTAGCCCTAAGATGTGGCTTGGTGAATGTGACACCAAGTCTTGAGACACTCACTACATGCTTTCGATGTTTGCTCACACTGCTCCCTGAGGAGCAGAGCCTATGAAGGAGGTTTCTATTTCTAATGTTGTGTCAGTCCTTTTTTGTGTGATGGTGCCTTCAGAATAATGAATATTTCTGTTCCTGGACAGTGATAAATCATATGAGAAATATGTGTAGGTTATATAATTTCTGTCCTTTTTAGCTAAGCCTGTGAAATACTTTGGCTCTGATACAACTTGACTTGAATAATATCTTATCCCGAGTCTTCCTCCAAGGCAGTACGTATTCCTGCCAGTACTGTAGTAGTCTTTTGGGAACTACATGTGGGTAAGCACTCGTATGTAAGCCATTATACTGCTGTAACTAATGCATACAAACAGTTCTTCTCTTTACATTTATAGTCTAAAAGTGGATATGTAGTGGGAAGGAAAATTCCTGAGAGATTCCAGCATAGCTTTGTCAATTCAGACTGAGCCATACTGTTTCCCACAAGGGCTCAACACATAGCCTATCTACCGTGCATTCAGTGTATGTTCAGATTCTCCTTTTATTGGTTTTCCTAGACTGTATTGTTCTATAAGCAAATGCCCATGTGTGATTTTTATGATGTGCTGGGGAAAAATAAAACAATACCACAACCACTAATTGTTACAGAAATTGTTTATTTCATGTTGATTTCATTTAACCTTTGTTGACAGCATCATGCTGTACTTAGAGAATACAAATAGGATACACTTTGAACACGAGTAACCTCTCTAGTAGTGAAGGACGTGTGCACAGATACTGATTCTGTCCCTGCCCACGGCTCCTATGCTGGGGAAGATTGTAGCGATCTAGACTCTGAAATGACCGAAGGTCAGATTTGTTGAACTCTGTCCTACATGATACACTTCGTTTCACTGGCTACGCTAGGATTTTAGCTCTTCCATTTAGTTAAAGAAAGCAATTTCCTACCTAGCTTATATAAATTCAGACTGAATGAACCTTAGAAATCATCCTGTCTTATTTCTTCTACCCTATATATAATTGCTCTCTAACCTACCGCATCCCCCACACCACAAACAGATAACCAGTCTTCCTGAACATTTGTTGTGACCAAGTGGGAATTTACAGCTTTTCCAGGAAGCCCTTTCCAACTTCTGAAATTGTTAGATATTAAGTGGTTTTTTTTCTTATTAGACTGAAATCTGTGTCCCTCTTACCATTAAGATACCTTCTATCCAAACTTCTGCCTTTTGTAGTCAAAGAATTGTCCAATTGTCCCCTTCTGTTGAAGGGGTACTCTTTAGGCATTTAAAGATC